TGCGCTCAGCCAAGTTGCTACGCCCACAAGAAACACCCAAGAAACCCAAAGCGCACCTACGCATTGGTCTTATGGGGTCGCCATGTGTTGCCCCTTGATTTGCAATTTGGCAACTTGGAATTTTGGCCACGCCCGCTTGCAAATGAAATGCTCGCCAAGGATGGTCGTTTTGGGGAGAAAGGCTGGGGGTTGAAGGAAGGACGGCGTCGATATTCCTTACAATCTGCCTTGCCTTGCATTTTGTTGCGGGGGCTGAGTGGAAGAGGGGCTCATGATGATGGCGATTGTGACTTGGCAGGTCATGGTGGCCCCAAAGCGCATTAGGGCCACCTTGGTAGGACAGCTCAATCTCTTTCCTTATCCCCTTCTCCTCGCCAATTTCCTGCCACTGTATTGATTATGATGATTGTGATGATGATGGTGAGGGCGCTGACAACTGCGACGACGACGACAAGGAGGATGAGGAGGAGGAGGGGAGAAGGGGAGGAGGCTGATGCTGATGCTGATGCTGACGCTGACGCTGACGCTGACGCCGATGCTGCTTCTGCTGCTGCTGCTGATGCTGGCGATGGTGATGGTAATGGTGATGGTTTCATGTGTTCTTTCAATTTCCTTTCTCTTTCCTCTTCCTTTCTCTCCCACATTGTTGTTTTTCTGGCTTGTGGCTACTCCCTTATTATGATGCCTAGGCTGAAGGCTGCCTTGCAGCATGCGCCAGACATAGTGAGAGAACTATTAGGCATGGCGGGAGACCTTCAAACAAGTTGGTTTGATGTCTGAAGTTCGAAGTACAACATTCTCGCCATAGGTCGTGCGTTTGAATTGTTATCGTTGATGGGGCTGGACCCTCGTCTTTGCGAATATCCAATTTCCCGGAGAAGAAAATATTTGCTGCTTGGTCACCGTTCCCAACAGTCCTTGGCTTAGCTGCAGGTCTTTCAGGGCAGGTCGGCAGCTCTCTGGACTTTGACCAGAATTTCTTCCGAATTTCTTCCAGATTCTCCTTTCACGATATGCTTTTCGACTTGGACGATACTGATGAGCGCGAAGGCAACTACGAGATTCGTACTTGCCCTACATTGTCTGAAGTGTGTTTTGCATTTGCGCCAACTGGTTTAAACGACACCTCCTACCTCTCAAGCCTTTAGTCATTGGGCCAAGGTCGGACTGCTTACGAGGGCATGTTTGCAGATATAGCTGCCTGTGATTTGAATCAGAACCCACCCTACAGACCCAAGAAAGCTTGGAATGCCCTCTTTACTTTGACAACCGGATCGAGTCGGATCTGGCTAAACAAACACAAACGCTACCTGACAGAAACAGAGGCTTTGCTGATGCATGGAATCCCTGTTACCAAGCAGGTTGCAAATGCCATGCGCATAAGTGATCACACTGAAAAAAAAACGCTAGCGTTGAGCTGCCAGAACCAATCATGCCTTTCTTACATCTTAGTGCCCAGTGCTCATGTTCCATTTTTTTGACACTGAGACTGCAAGAGAACTGCTGCAACGCACGTGCGCGTGTATGTGTGCCCTAAGGTTAGCCGATTTTAGGGTTGTCGGGCCAGCCCTGACTGCCTATCTACCACGTGCAAACTGTCCACGCTCATGTTGAGCCTGATTTCGCGGATGCAAGCGGTTTGAAGGCTGGCGCGGCCAAAACAAACTGAGCAAGCATCAAATAACACCAACCCATGTAAACGCCTACCGGCCCAATACCTCAGGAAACCTCAACGGAAATAGTACGCAGGGCTTGTAGTCGAACAAGACGCGCCTGGCCACGGAGAACGCCGAGGCCTCATCCGCCAGCCACTCCTTCTGGAACGCGTCCGAGAACTTCTGGGTATAGGTCGCGCAGTACTTGAGCAGCGGGCCGCGGTCGTTGCTCAGGAGGACGTCTTGATGGCATTTCGCGACCTCCAAGGTGGCGGGGAAAAAGGCTCGATGCCCGGCTTCGGCGTCTTGGGCCGTGTGCTGCAGGCGCAGCAGTTGGGCGGCGTCGTCCCAGTACGACGCCTCGTCCTGTTGGGGCCAGCCCGTGCTTGCACCTTCTCGCCGGGGGCGTCCAAGCATGTAGCCCTTGAGCGCTGGCTCATCCTGGCCCGGCTCTGTGGCCCGGATTTTGTCCTCCAGTTTGATCCGCTTTGGCTCTCGCAAGTAATTGAGGCTATGGCAGTGGACGCGCCCGCTGCCGTGATAGGCTTGAGACGCCGCCTTCCGCTTGCCGTCCTGGTACTCCAGCCGGAAGAAGTAGGCCTGGCTGGTCTCCGGTCCGTCGTCGCCGGGCCCCAACAGGTGGCCCTTTCCAGGAGCCGTGGCTGTCGTCGCCGCTGCGCTTGTTCATGCCCGTGTAGAAGCCGCGCTCCAACTCCGTGAAGACGTGGGCGTGGTGGAGTGTCTCCAGCCCAGCAAGCTCTTGCTCCGGCTGCCCCTCCGCCGTGGATCCGCCGCGCCTGCGCCCCGCCATCTGCATCTCGTTGAGGATCCAGACATGGTAGGGGAAGCTGGGCTCCCACGGCGCCATTGTCTTGAAGATCTGCGGGTGGCCGCACTGGCGCTGCATGTCAATGAGGGCCGCGTGCCGAGTCTTAAAGTACAGCGGCGAGAAGGTTTCTCCCTTGAGGACAAGCCTGAGCGGAACGTTCTTGCACGCGTTCTTGCCTCCGCCAATGCGGCTCCAGAGGCTCAAGTCGTACACGAATTGCAAGAGCTCAAAATCCTCAGCGTAGCCGGCAATGGGGCCCAAGACTTTTCTCATGAAGGAGCGCTTGATGCTCTGCCGGCCGCTATCCCGCCCACCCTCATCCTCCTCCGAGCCGTCGTCTTCCGCATCGCTGGCGCGGACGGCCGTCTCGCAGAGGTCCTGGCGCCAATACAGGTTGGGCCACAGGGCGCTTTCCAGGCCGGAGGTCTCCAGGAATTGCAGGGGCCGCTTTCTCTGCCGGTCTGAGACGTTCTCTCCGTGGCGCTCAAGGAACTTTTCGTGCTCTGTTGCGAACTCCTTGTACGCGGGCTCTTCGGAAGCCATCAGGAAGTCGCGGGCATGGCTGGCCTGCCGGCGCTCCTCTCGAGGAAGGGCCCGGATCTTGTCGTCCACATGCTCGGCGGCCCAGGCAAGCCGGACCATTGCCGTGTGGCAGCGATACCCATAGGGCGCTCGCCGGTAGGGCCCAACGTCAACGTCCAAGGGGCGAAGGGCAAGGACAGTTGCTCTGGACAGGTTTCGCAGCGGCTCTGGGATGTCCTCAAACTGGGAGATCTTGACGGCGCCGTTCTGGCAGCTCTTGCAAGCTCTTGGCGGGATCTCTGCTTGGGCCACCCGCTGGCAGTCGATGGGCTCCAGGCGCCGCGGCTGCAGCGACCCGCATCCCTTGCAAACGCCCCAGGAACCAAACTTGGCCCACAACTCCACAAACTTGCCCGTGTCAGAGAGGACCGGCGCCGGCAAGCCCGCGTCGTTGTCGGCGACGTCCTCTGCCAGGGGCGCTTCGATGTCGTTGTCCTTGAAGAACTTCTTCTGGACGCGACTGCGGTCGGCCTTGACTTGCCGCTTGTGCTTCTTGAGCTCCTCCGAGGTGAGTCCTCGCCAGGCGCGCTTGCGCTGCGCCAGCGTCGCTGACCAAGACACTTTGGCGCGCTGCGCTGCGGCTTGGGCTTTGCGCTGCGCCTTCTGGTCGCGCCGGGCTGCGGCCCGTGGCCGGACATCGGCCGCCGCCTTCGCGTGCAGCTCTGCGCGGCAGCTGTCGGGCACGCGGAGCAAGGCGGAGTTGTAAACGTGAGGCTTGTCCGCGTAGCCCGCGCGGAACTTCTTCAGGCTGCCAAGGACTACGCTCCGGCCTCTGGGCAGGCTGCAGGCTTTGTCCATGCGGGCGTCGCTGCAAAAGATGCATCTGCTGTCGGTGCCCCTGCTACTGCTCTTGTAGCTGCCGGGCCGTCCGAGCGTTTGCGGGCTGTAGATGCATGGCCAGCCACGGCCGCGGCCTTGGCAAGGGCGGCCGCCTTGCGCTGCGGGCTTCTTTTGCAGAGCAGCCTTCTTCTCAACTCGTGCCGCAGGGGCTCGCTCCATTTCTGCCAAGGCCCTCTCGATCTGATCCTCTTCGGAGATCGCCGCCTCTGCGCGGATGTGCTGGGGCTCATGCGGCAGCGCCGGCCGCTTCTGCCGGATGCGGCGTCTTTGGGGCGCCGGCGCTGGCGCCTCAGCGGCTTCGTCCTCCTGGCCAGTCGTGTCCTCGCGCCAATGAGCAGCGCTGAGCCATTGAAGCATCTCCTCTGCCAGAAGGTCCAAGATGCCCTCTGACGCCGGATTGCTGTCCTCCAACAGGGCGGTCTCCAGCCACTGTCGCGTTTCGGTAACGTAGGCCCGGAGCGGGAGGTCCTGCTGAAACGGAGGGGCCCCCTCGCTCCACCGGCGCGCGCCTCCCAGGCGTGCGTAATAGTCCAAGACCTGCGCTGCCCGCCAGCGGAGATATTCGGGCTCCGTGTTCTTTGCCTCTCCATCAGCGTCCACAATCTCCTCGACTGCTTCACTCCTGGTCTCTTCCTCTAGCTGCTCCAAGTCCGTGGGCTCCTCTGCAGCCCGGAGGACGTGGAAGTTGAAGCAAGGCCCCGACATGGCGGCGAGGCGGCGGATTTAGAACTGGCAACGGCTGCGCATGTCTTTTCTTTCTTTCTTCCGAGAAACAACTTGGCGCTCCGTTTAACCTAGAAGTCCTGTTTCTTCTGTTTCTTGGCCTAGCGTCGCCTGCCGCCCTTTTTTCCGATTCACTGGTCAGTCCTCGGGCAAGGCCATTGCCGGTGTCTACAGTTGGATAAGTCCTAGCGCCAGCCCACCAGTGCCTCTCAGGCCGAAAGTTCACCAATCCTCACCAGCAGCCTGCCTCACTCGCCGGCGCTCTCCGCCGGCTTTGCGGCAGCTGCTCGGACCGCCTCCGCCGCCTCGGCCGCCGCCGCGATTTTCGCTGCCAAGCCCCTCATGAGCTTTGCAGACGGCTCGCCCTGCACAGCGTCGGCCGCCGTTTTAGCGGCCTCAAGGCCGCGCAGCACGCGCACTGGCTCCGGCACTTGTTTGAGGAGGTCTTTGATCTTGCCGAAGCTCTCTCCAGTGAGCGGCTCGGTCTTAATGGCTTCGGCTTCTGCAAGCACCAGCGCGGCGTCGGCTTCGGGCCAAGCCGTCAGAGCCTCAGCCGCAGCGCACTCTGCCAGCGCCGCCGCTAAGTCCTCGTTTTCGAAGGCCTCCATGTGTTTGCCGCGCTTGGTCTTGGCCGGCGACGAGGACGAGGCGGCCCTCCGCTTCCTCTGCGAGCCTTTCTTCTTGTCCTCGTCGCGCTTCTTGGCCGGCGAGCTGCTCTTGCGCTTCTTGTCCTTTGCCCGCTTGCTTTCCTTGACCGCCCTCTTGACCTTCTTCTGCTTGCTCTCGCTGCTGCTGGCGCCGCTGGCCGAAGGCGATTTGGACTTTGACTGCGAGGCCGAGGCCGCCCCAAAGCGCCTCTGGCTTTTCTGCCCCCCCAGTAGAACAAGGAGTCCAGGCCCTGCGCCATGGCCTCGGCCAGGAGGCCCTGGTCCCCGGACCGGTTGACCCACTGCTTGGTCTTTGGCGCCTGCTTCTCCAAGCTGGGCACCTGCTTCGCCCAATGCTTCAGGTCGCTGGACAGCGCGCGAGCTTCCGCCGCCGCCAGCGCCAGGGCCAAGAGCCGAGAAGCCCCGTCCGCCAGCTTGGCCAGGCCACGGCCCAACTCATCGCGGCCGTCGTCTTCGCTCGCAAGGGTGTCAAAGAACGTGTCTACGGCCGCCGCAATCTGGGCCTTGTCCGCCGAGGCGCCTTTCTGCACGGCGCGCGCGGCGTCCATGAAGTCCTGGCCACCCAGATGTTTGCGCGGCGTCCAGGCCCAGGTCCTTTTCCAAGTCCGCAGATTTTGCAACATCCCAACCGGCCTCAACGGCCGCCGCCACGAGGTTCAGCCCCATTGCCGGCCTGTTAGCCAGCTCGGATGTTTCGGCGGTGAGCTTGGCCCGCAAGGCTTTTGGCGCCAGCGCCGATCTGACACTCCCGGCGCCGACCTTGAGCAGGCAGCCGGCTTGGTCCGGATATGCCCGGAGCATGGCCTTGAGCGGGAGGCTCCACTCTTTGCAGGCCAAAACCTTCTTCGTGTCCGGCCTTGCCTTCTCCTCCTTGCCGGCGCTCTTCTGAGCTGCGGCTTTCTTGCCCCAGGCCATGATGGGACACGTCGAAGCACGCACCGGACTGCTTGAGGCTTTGTCTGGCAGCAGATAATATGTCTCAATCTCATCGCGATTGCCACGCTCCTCAACTCGCACTCCATTACAACCCTTGCGCAACTCTGACCTTGCTGGACCTGTGATTTGTTGGGACCCGCCATGCAAAGCTGTTTAGGCTTCGTCGGGTTACCGCCTCTTTTTTTTGCAGTGGCTTGACTGTTTGTCTTGAAATTGACAACTGTGAAGCCACAGGTGAAACTCCTAGCCCGCTCACTTGAGGCCTCCCGGGGGCTTCTTCTCCGGCCGCTGCGCAGCGGCGGAAGCAGAACGCGGACGAGCGCATGGACGTCCTGGAGCAGTACGACCTGGCGGTAGTCGACGAGGTCTCGCAGTTGGACGCCCAGCAGTTTGAGCGCATCCTCCAGATTCAAGACGCCGGAGAGGTGTTGCCCCACGAGGTAGCGCTCAGCTTTGAGCTTTGCGAGGAAGGACTTGATCTTGGCAGCGCCCATAGCCTACAACCCTTGCGCAACTCTGACCTTGCTGGACCTGTGATTTGTTTGGACCCGCCATGCAAAGCTGTTTAGGCTTTGTCGGGTTACCGCCCCTTTTTTTTTTGCGGTGGCTTGACTGTGTGTCTTGAAATTGACAACTGTGAAGCCACAGGTGAGCCTCCCAGGGGCTTCTTCTCCGGCCGCCGCTTGCTGAAGAATGGGGCGTGCTCAGCGGCCGGCCGCGGTTGCTGCCGCCACTCTGCCACTGCCCTGCGCCCCACGCCTGAACCAGCCAGCTTGAAGGCCGACATGACCAGGCGACTATTCAGTTCCGTCTACAGACTGCTAGTGCTGGGCGGCGTGGCTGCCGGAAACTTATTGATGTCTGCCCGTCAGGAGTCCTCTGATCCGCTTCCAAATGGGCCCGTGGCCGCTGAAGGTGTGTCTTCTTGGGGCCGCCCCTACATGACCTGTGATTTCTTGGGACCCGCCACTTTGTTATAGAGTATTCGCAAAGATGTTTAGGCTTCGTGGGGTGTCTCTTTTTTTGCTTCATCGTGTCTCTTCAAATTGGAAAACTGTGAAGCCACAGGTGAAACTCCTAGCCCGCTCACTTGAGGCCTCCCAGGGGCTTCTTCTCCGGCCGCCGCTTGCCGAAGGACGCGGCGTCCTCAGCGGCCGGCCGCGGTTGCCGAGGCCGGCGTTCTCCGGCTGCCCAGCCGTGGGTCCTGTCAGGGCAACCGAGCGGCAGGCGACGGGCGCGAATCCCTGAAAGCTTTCAGCGATCGGTGTTGATCTAGTTTGCAGGGCACGTCAAAGCAAAACTCGCAAAAGAGCGACCCTGTGATCAAGCGCATGCCCGGCATGTTAGCGGCGCCCCCCCGCCCCTCCCAGGAGTTGAGTGTGCCTCCGCGCTGGACCTGACCCATCTTAAAGTCTTCCGGTTCCTTGTCCGACGCCAGGCTTCCTCCCCGGTCGCCTTGGCGGCGGAGTCTACCGTATGGACTCTCACGCGCTTCAGCAGTGACTCTCGCTCCTAACCTATAGGTTTGTAAAAAACGACGTTTCTGCTCCTTACATTGGCTCCGCGGCCCGCCTTAAGCCGCTTTCGGCCCCCGGGGTCCGGCCCGGGCCCGGGCGTTTACGCGTTTTTCCGGGGCTAGCCCCTGCCTTCTATTTTAGCTAATTTCTGGCTTGCCAAGCAGCCCCCGCGGCTGGCCCGGCAGGGCCCGGGAAGGGCCGAAACTGACCCAAATCGGCGTCGCCCAGATTCTGGGCGACGCTTTCAGGTCGCCCAGATTCTGGGCGACGCCCCCAAAGCCTCCCGAAGCCGGGTCATTCTGGGCGACGCCCCAAAGCCCCTGCGCCGCTTAGCCCTCCCAAGTCGGTCTGGGCGACGTCCTGCTGGATTTCACCCGGAGATCGTCGCCGTACTTGCGCGCCTCGCCCCGTCCGCGTTCCCTTCGCTCCCCGCTCGTCTCGCGCCTCCTGAGCTTCGCGCAACCTTTTCTTTTCTCTTGAAACAGATCGATCGACGTGCGCTTGCTCCGCGCAAAGTTTGAAATAAGAACAAGAAACCCTGGCCCGAAGGTATGCTGCTAACTCCGGGTGGATTGGGGTGGGCCAGCTAGCCCTAAGCCTCCATCCTCTGAGCACACCCTAAACCCTAAACCCTAAACCCTAAACCTCTATTCTCTACTCTAGTATATATATTTAAATGTTTGCCCTACAACGGGTCCGCCCGCAGGAGGCTTTCTTAAGACCTTCTTTTCAGTTCTGCGCGTGTCCCGCAAGCTTCTAAATCGGTTTCGTTGTTTAAATCAAAGTTCGGGGCCAAAATCGCAAATTTTGCCACGCGCTAAATTTGCGCGCTTTCTAGGTCCGGCCCTCTTGGCCGCGGCTGAGCCGTGGGCGCGCCAGGGCCCCGCCGCGGGGCTGGTGGCCCGGTGGTCCTGCGTCCGTCTCTGAAGTGGGTGGTCCCGGGCTCGGTTCCTCCCTGGCGCGCGCTTTGCGCTGTCAGCGTCTGAAAGCTTTCTTTTCCATTCTCTGTCTTTCCCGCGAGTTTCTAAATCTGTTTTGCTGCTCGAGTCCAAGTTCGGATTGATGGCGCGTTCGTGACCTTCTAGGACAACGACCCACGTGTTGGCCGCAGGACGTGGCCCCCATCGGCGCAGACAGCCTCCTGGCTGGGCAGCCTGCAGTACCCGCGCAACCCATGAAGGGAGCCTCGGAACACTTCCACTTCCTCTTGGTCCTTGCGGGTGGCCCCGGCTTGGTTCCTCCCGCGCTTGTTTTTTTCGTGGCCTTGATCCGGGCTGCCGGGCAATGTTTTTCGTGGCCGCGCCGTGGTTTTCCACTTCCGGCGGTCGGCTCTCTGAGCATTTTCGCGATCGAAACGCTCTTGGCTTTGCACGGCGCAGAACTTCCAAGCTGGTGGGACGTGCTGCAACTCAGCCAAACGCGAACTCGAGATCATCGCCGAGCCGTTGAGGCTGCTTCGTGAAGCGCAGAAAATCGCAACTACTCTCTGCCCTTGCAACATATCGCCTGCTTTTGTCAATTCGTCTTGTTCGCTGCTTGCCGATTTTTGCAATCTGTCACCTACTTCGTTGGTCGCTCTGCGCGCGCGCCCTCTCGCCGCTTTGCTTTCGCTGCGTTCGATTTGTTGATTTGCGCTGGTGTGGAAGCTGGCCCTTGGTAGCGGGCCTGGGTGGGTGGGATTGAGGTCGAAACTTTTGATTGACGTCGCTATGAAGATTTCCATGTCTCAAATCCTGTGAACCCTAAACCCTAAACTCAAGCGCTCGGCCGCAGCAGCTGCATTGGTGCTGGCGCAGAGCGAGTCCGGCATGGCGAGCGAAAGCGCCCCGAGTTGCGTTCCTCTGCAACGAGCGCGGTTTGGAGCTGTAGCTCCCGCTGCCAGCGCCAGCTGGCCTTAGAATGAGTAACCCCAAACCTTCAACGAGTCGCAGCGTCCTCCTTATGAACTTTATCAAGGCTCCTTATACGAAGCTTTAGAAGAAGCTTTATGAGAAGCTTTGTAAGAAGCTCAGGAGCTTCGACTTAATAAAAAAAATATATAAGAAGTTGTATAAGAAGCTGTATACAAGGAACTTCATAAGAAGCTTTATAAGGAGCTTTATAAGAAGCTTTATAAGAAGCTTTCTAAGAAGCTTTATAAGAAGCTTTATAAGAAGCTTTATAAGGAAATTTTATAAGAAGCTTTATAAGAAGCTTTGTAAGAAGCTTCATAAGGAGCTTTATAAAAAGCTTTAGCGAAAATAAGAAGCTTTATAAGAAGCTTTATAAGACGCTTTATAAGAAGCGTTTGAGAAGCTTCCTAAGAAGCTTAAGAAGCTTTATATATAGGAAGCTTTATAAGGAGCTTTATAAGAAGTTTTTCAGAAGCTTTAGCTATAAAAAGCTTTATAAGGAGCTTTGCAAGGAGCTTTAGACGAAGCGCTGCAAGACGCTTGAAGAAGCTGAAAAGAATAGGAAGCTGCATAAGAAGCTTTGTAAGACCATCACAATGATGCTGTTCGCATCACCATGATCATGTCCGCGTCGTCATGAGTCTAAATCTAAAGATCTGGCCATGCGGCCGCTTCTTGGTGATAAACCGGCCATTGCGGCCACTGGCCTGGCCTTAATAAAGCGGCCACTGTTGCTAAAGCTGCTATTGAGGCTGGCCGGCCTTGATAAAACGGCCATCGCCTTTGATAAAACGCCCACTGCGGCTGGCCGGCCTTGATAAAACGGCCAATCGCTTTGCCAGCCCTTGATAAAAAAGGCTCGGCTTGGCCGCTGATAAACTCCTTATACGGGGCAATATGGAATCGGCAATCCGCAGCCCGAATCTAGGAGATCTGGCAATTTTGCCGCTTCTGCTTGATAAAACGGCCATTGCGGCCACTGGCCTGGTCCTCGACCTTGATAAAGCGGCCACTGTTGATAAAACTTGATAAAACGGCTGCGGCTGGCGGGCCTTGATAAAGTTGCCATTCGCTTTGCTAGCCTTCCTAAAAATTGCTCGGCCTGGCCGCTGATAAACTCCTTATACGGGACAATATGAAATCGGCCATCCGCAGCCCGAAGCTAGAGATCTGGCCATTTGTCCGCTTCTGGTTGATAAAACGGCCATTGCGGCCACTGGCCTGGTCGTCGCCCTTGATAATCTGGGCCGCCCGTGTTGCGACATAGGCTTCGGGCCGCATATGCCGCGGCGGCCTCCAAGATCCCCCCGCTTTGCGTCGCTCGGAAACTTGTTTCGGGAAGCCCGCCGGGCCAGCCCCCAGCGCCAAAATAACGGAGCATGCGCGAGCGACGGCGCGGGTTTGCCATGGCTGTCGCGGAAGCTTCGCCCGGACGATTGTTTCGGGAAGCCCGACGGGCCAGCCCCCAGCGCCGAAATAACGGAGCGCGCGCGTGCGACGGCGCGGGTTTGCCATGGCTGTCGGCGTCCAAGATCCCCCCGCTTTGCATCGCTCGGACACTTGTTTCGGGAAGCCCGTCGGGCCAACCCCCAGCGCCAAAACGACGGAAGCGAGCGCGAGGGAGGCTGTCGCAGAAGCTTTGGCCGTCGCCCGGAAAATTGTTTCGGGAAGCCCGACGGGCCAGCCCCCAGCGCCAAAATCACGGAGCGC